TGCAGATCCCAGGCCCAGAGGGGCTGCCTATCCCGGTCCTGCACACTCAGCCGGACTGCTGGCAGTGCTCAGAGACTCCTTCCAAACTTCCTTTAGGCCGCCGTCTCTGCCCCTCACCACAGGGAGCCTGCAGGGGTGTCCTTCTTTTCTGCGCCCCCCCCCCCGGGGCTGCCTCAGATGTTCAGAAGGCCTGTCTGGGGAGTCTGTTCAAAAATACAGATTCTTGGGCCCCACCACAGAGCTTCCTAGGGCTGGGACCCTGGAATCTGCATTAAGGAGACTCCCTGCAGTGGATCCCGCTGCAGCTGGTCCTTGGTTCACACTGGGGACAGGCCCTCGTGGTCAGGCTGCTGGGGATAGGGTCAGGCCAGCAAGGGTGGCCTGTTACAGGCCCTAGCCCCCCTCTGCGGGCCACTCTGCCTGTCCTGGGTAGACCGTGCGTGGGCTCCAAGTTCACAGGTCAAGGTCAGGGAGGACCACGTCCCTCTATTCTCACTAGTGTGGCAGGAGACGTATATGTCAGCTGTCAGAGCCCCAGACTACCCCCAGTAGGCAGCAGGGGCCAACCCAGCAGGCCAGTGGCCAGGCCAGAACACACAGAAGCTCACAAAGGAGATGAAGTGGCAGGGCCTGCTGAGGGCTCCTGGGAATCCTAGGAAGCCCGTAGGCTCTTCCCGTCCACACGTCACCCTGATGGCTCCTGGCCTCTATGCCACCTGTCCATCACCCTGTCCATTTACATGCCATGGACAGTGACTGATGGGACCTCCTGGGCCTCCCAGAGCTGGAGTATGTTGTGGGGGGGGGGAGGAGTTGCGGGGGGAGGTAGTGTCATACGTATGCTGTCCCCTTGGGGACCCAGCAAATCCCACACTGTGGGAATGAAAGGAAAGGCCCTGCTCTATCCATGGTGGAGAGGTGCTGCGGCCACAGCACCCAGCCTGGCTCACCCAGCCTTTCTGCTGAGCCCCTGGGGCAGCAGGTGCCCCCTGCCCAAAGCCCTGCGGAGCCAACATGTGTGTCTGTGTTGGGAACCAGGGGCCACCCAGTGACGGCGTCCGCCAGTCCTTGCCCAGGGGGCCCCAAGCATTAGAGCCAGCCCAGCCCTCTCTGCTGCCGGCTCTGTCAGGTATGTCCCTCATGCCACCTCCAGGGAACAGACCTGGGGCCCACCAGTCCTCTGAAGGTCCAGGTCACACAGAGGCCCTTCCACACCTGGCACTGCCTGGCCCGCCTCTCAGTGCCAGGCTCCAGCAAGTGTGTGGCTCAGCCTGTGCTCACCAGACACTACCCTCATGCCCAGGCAGGGATGGTTGCTGCACACCTGAGAGGCCTCCTGTGGTGGCACAGTGTTCCCTGTCCTGTGGCCAGCCCCCAGGCTCGCAGTGGGTCCAAGGCTCCTAAGGGCTCCCCAGGCACCAGAAGGGAACCACTGAAAGCACCTGGACAGGACTCCAGGGACAGGTTGGGGAGTGCCGGGGAGAGGCCAGGCTGGCTCCACCCTCTCGGCAGGTGCCCCAGGCTCAGGTCGCCTGCCTCAGGCGCAGAGCCCACATGAATGCCCCCTACCCTGGCAACTTAGGGAGAGGCCGCCTGGAAACGACACCACGACCGGCTCACCGCCCCGACGCCCACCCGGGTCGGACTCACGGCGGGGCGTCGGTCGAGGTGTAGCGCAGGATGACCTGGAAGGCTGGTGCGCCTGCAGTTCAGGCGGCAGCGTGACGGTGAGCGAGGAGCCGTAGTCG